TTTTTTTTTTTTTTTTTTTTTTTTAAATCGATCAAAAATGTTACATGAAAAATTAGATTATTTAGAATTAAAATTAAAATTAAAAATTGAATTTAAAAAGTTTACCGTTAAATTTATAAGTTTCCAGTATCTTGATATCGAGTCAATGGTTACAAAGCGTTCGAGCGAATATTAAAAGCGAATTGTGGGAATTAGGATTTGAGTTGCCATTTCTGGTACTGGAATTGGAACAACAGGTCGATGGATAGTCACTGGATAGTTTTGGGAACACGGAAGTTACTTCACGGTGATTCCTTTTGGAGTAGAAAGTTTGGGGGCATAGATAAAGACCGATTCATTTGTCCAATTGAAATCTGAAAATATTACATATCGAATTGTTAAGAAAATTTTTAAAAAAAGTGTATTTTATTTATTATTATTTCTCTATTAAAATCTCACTAATAATATTCATACATTGCTTTCGAGTTAATAGATAACGTATGAACCAAGTTATACAATGCATTGTATTGCATCATATATGGTTGCAATTATGGTTTGTTAACTAGTTTAACATCGGAGCAGGGTAACAATGCTAAATGCGACTTTCTCTTTTACCGATGATTTTACTTACCAACTATTCGCACTCATAAAATTAATATTACCAACCGCAACGATTGTTCATTGCGGAAACTAATTTAACTGAAAAATCGTAAAATCAGACAAGAATAATAGTTTCGCGATATTTGAAATTTTTTATTCTAAAATTTTATAATTAACATGTTCCTTTGATATGGCAAATATGAAAATTACAAATCTATTTTGAATTAAAAAAATATAATTTGAATTGTATATTGTAGATATACTTGAAGAGTTAACAGGTTAAAATCAAGTTAGCGTGCAAGTGGCTTGAACAGCTGATGATTCTTCAAGTTCTGGTGGTAGTTCAACGATATTAGACGAATTTATATCTTGCTCCGCACGTGGTAATGCACAGCTAAATATAAGCTACCAATGACGGTTACGAAATGTCAAGCAGAAGCTGCCGAGTACTGGGTCAGTCGGAAAGCTGTTTCGCGCGTGTCTTACAGCGAGCGATTAGTTTCGAGATATATCGATATTTCAAGGATGATCGAATCATTACGTAAAATGGTTGTTCTTAATTATATTCTCATATTGTTACGGAATTATTGACATATACGTTTCAATAATTATCGTTTCTCTCGTGTGATTTAAAAATTTACAATTAGAAAGTTATTACGAGACACGAAGCAGAAAAATCTAAAAAAGGTTTTCTCGAATCCAAAGAAACATTTCTACTATAATTTTCTTATAATTATCTTCGTTTAAAGTAGTAGGGAATAATAAAAACTGATAAACGTCACTTTCTAACGGCGAAGGCGAAGTAAAAATTTTTAAATAGAATATACCTACAACTTTTTATCGTAATGAAGAGAAAAGATTGTGTTCTCTGTTCGATTCAAGCAACTATCGAAAAAATCGCTAATCGAGATGTATTCTTTTTTCGAAGATTAACGGGAAACTGATAAAAGGAAATATCGACGAAAGTTCGCTGGTGGCTTGTATATACTGCGCAAATGCTCTCCCGCCTCTTGGAATATTACTCGGTTGCCCAAGGTTGCCGTTCGTTCTGCTCACGACTCGAGCATTATGCACGTGTATAGATATATCAACCACGCATTTACAGCGATACACCTCTACATAGGCATATTTACGATATACGCGTAGTAGATCTATCTCTCTAACACACGATATAAGAGAATACATGTTTCCTAACCTTTTCTCTATTCCGTTACATTTATTTCGTGTGCGTTTTTTTTTTTTATTAATCAAATAATTAACTATAATATTAATAACTCAAATTATTTAATTAATTAATTAGAAAAATAATAACGAAAATCTTTTTCATTCTTTTTAAAATAGTAAATGAAAATAGAAAAAAAATATCGTGTAGATTCATAAATGTTTTTCAGATGACTCTAACAGGTTGGAAACGTGACACGATAATGGGTGACGAGATTGGGAAACTCTGCGCGCGCAATGTACCTATTCTTTGTTCATTTCTCGGCTTTTAAGAGCACGTCTCGCATCGATGCACGGCAATTATTGACATGTGTGTGAAAACCGACAAGAGATACATTGAATATCGTTTATTATATGTATATAGGAATATGTGCGCGTACTCATTGGTACTAGGGCCTCTCCCTTTGGAACTGTCGGCGACGGTTCAGTAATGCTGGTCGCTAGTACGATACGGATCAACGATTTAATGTGAACACACCAGCAGCCTCTCTTTATTTCTATAGTCGAATCATTTCACATCGATCGATCGTTTCTGTGATACGCGGAATCTTACTTTCCCTGAAACTCTATTTCTTTTATAATTGCTTTTTTTATTTTTATTTTCTGTGAAATCTGTTTTGAAAATCAATTTTACGCACAAAATATATTTTACCAGATAAATCTTAATGGGAAAAAAGGAAAAAATGATTATTCATCTATTTGGAGAAATCACTTTCTTCGTAATGAAAAAAATATAGCAAATAGTTATTTTAGAACATTCATCAATGATAAGAAACGATGATGAAACAAAATCATTTCTAACGTTTATATTAACGTGAATGAGCACACTAATTACTTCCTATTTTGAAGTGTGTTAAATATAAAAGGAATATTCTTCTTCATATATGTACAGTATATATAACTCTGCTACTATGAGCACTTCTCATAGCAGTTAAGAATAGATTAAAAAATTGATTGTTTAAAAGCTTAATAAATAAAATATAACTAAGCACGTTGCTTTCTAATCATTTATTTATGAGACTATTTTCAGCATTGAAATGCATATATTACAATCGTAAACGTTATAGAAGTGTGTGATATTTGTGGAGTCGATTTGGTCTTCGTTTACATAATCTACGTCTTCTATAAACATACAATATATGTAAAATAGCCAATAGAATTTCTCTATATCGAGATTTTTGAATTATATTTTTATTGAATTAATAAATGGAAATGATAAGAACGATATGCTATCATCAATTTATGATTGATATTAATGATTCATCGATCTCATAAAATAACAATAGAAAGTTTTTAACCATTTTAAATATTTTTGTTTTTTAGAGATGATTAAGAATCATCAAATTGAATTAGAGGTCAAAAAATTAATTGCAAAAAATGAAATGTTGTTGTTTAATGTGCATATATTTCGCGTTTCTTTATATCTGAACAAACGTGTTAAAGTACTGTTCCTTTCAATTGCATTGTCCTTGAGGTTAGAAGACAAGGAACGACGCAATTCTCACAATTAGTGCCTCTCTATTTAAGTTTCTTTCACGCTCTATTATCATCCAATTTTAATACCTGTTGAAAATATATATTTCAAAAAATTAATAAAATCACATTTATCAAATTTTTAATTTGTTACTTTCAACTTAAATCTGTTTATTCGTATTTGCGAATTATATATTTCTAAACGACATCTATAATTTACGACCAATGAACCTTTGCTACTGTCGATAAATCAGTCAACTTCCTAAAGTATCATGAAAACCTTAACAAATTTCAAAAGTTAAATTTAGAACAATGATAGTAAGAAAAGTAACACTAAAAAAATAGTTCAAAAAAATGACGACTATAATGAAAATATAATAGTAACAGTTGTCAAAAGCGTTTTAGAAACATAGATTGACGCGCGCATACAGCTGATAATGATTATGTAAGATATACAACGCGCAGTAAAATGTCATCCATTAAGTGATTACATCGTAATCTAATCATCTTCAGAATCCTCGAAGAAAACGAATTATCTTAAAACAAATAATCATTACATATTTTTTAGTTTCCATGTCTGAATCATATCTTCACATGTCAAATAATTGTGTCTCACAACATACGATATTTCAAATCTTATAATTAGAGCTTTATATTCGAATTTCAATCATAAAATTTGCTAGAATCTCTAGTGATATAAAAGAAAGAAAAAAGTTTGTTTCACATTGGATGCTAGGTGGATCGATCGAGCACAAGTTTGGAAGAATGAATGAGAACGGAATGAAGACGTTGTACAAGAATATCACGAAAGAATCGGGTCAAGGATCATCTTGCCACTGAATGACAGACACACTATTATTTTTTATTTTATAAGAGATAATACAAGTAGTACTCACTGTTTCCTCGTCTCACTGCGTGCTTTGGACCTCCGATATCGCTCCGGTATCTGGTGGTTAACAATCGACGAGGCTCGAGAAATATCCTGGTTAGAAGCACTCGCGATTTTTGCCTGCGATCATGAAGCGAGATCGGTTTGTTGGTTGGTCTAAAAGGGTTAGAAAAAGAAGTGGTGTCGCTAACGGACACACGAACGTGCCCCGCTCGCCGTCCACCGTTGAACTGATTTCTGGCTCCTTTGTTTAGTAAACAGAAACAGCTGAGCCACACTACTAGTTACGAGAGGTAGAGGTGGCGGGAGCTTGATCCACTCTTCCCGCACAACGCTCACGATACTACGCAAGCGCGTTTCTCTGCAAGCATCACGTGGTTTTACATGTTTAACCAATTGGAACATAGCATTGCAGACAGTATCGTATTGCGATATATTATATTGTAAAATTAAAATAAAATATTAAATTAAAAATATTTAATAGATATAATTAATTTAAATAAAATTTTTAATATAAAATTATGTTTATTATTAATAATCGTATTATTAATCATAATTATATGTAATGCAATTTAATTGTTCTTATTATCATTCCGTATAAAAATGTATTTTCAATTGAATAATAAAAATTAAGAATTTTAGTATAAGGGAAAAAGGCATTAATTAACGCAATGGAAAAAGAATTTTACATGAATTAATTGTAAAATGCGAATTTATAATATATCGATAATGTAGAAATATAATATATATATATAATTATGACATAAAACTTACCATCAAATCATGAAAACACTATAAAAATTCTTTATTTCATTATACGAAATATACGATATATCTAAATTTGGAATAAAATTCAATAAAGGAATAATAGCAATAAAATTCTCATACAAAAATTTATACTTTACCGAGCTAAAAGAAAAAAGTATAAAATAATATTATTATTAATATAATTTTGTTTGATAATATTAAAATCTTGTGATGTTTTTCAAATAATTGATTTATCATTAACCCAATTTCATCCTTTAAACAATGTTATATTATTTATTGATACATAGAATTTATCAATAATACCATTAGCTAACAGTATTACACTTGCCTCTATTTCTTCGAAAATTGTCATTTTCTCGTTCCTTGTTTGCGAAATTATAATACATGTATCAAAGAGTAGTTTACTTTCTTTGATCGTCTTTTTTTGTCTGTTGAAGTTGTTTGTCATACATTATAATTAATTACTATTCAATCACAATTACAGATCATACATACACGTATAATTACACATTACGACATTACATACATGTGTTTCTGTATTATATATTTATATATGTATATTTATATATTTATAAATTACAGATCGAAGATTAGAGGTACTCTATTTCGATATTTTTGGGAATGTTTTGACACTCTCAATCTTTTTTTTTCTGTACTCAATGCCATTAGAAATTATTTGTAATAATCGAAATGAAATATATTTTTCTACTCGTCTTACGTGCTTTTCGAGATCAAATTTCGTGCACATGTCACTAAGCATTAAGAAAATCTAAAATATTAATTAAATTTAATAAATTGCTATTTATAAATATCAATAAAGAATTAAAACAATTGTGTCATTGTTTTTCTGACATATTTAAAATGCGTTACTTTTTTAAATCATCACCATCGTTTTCATTATTGATTTTCGTTGACATTTATTAGGTTATTGCACTTGATAAAGAGGTTAAAATAGTTAAATTTTGTTGTCAAATAACAACTTTTAGTACTTTAACTAAAATATATCAAAAAATTTTTAGTTCTTAACACGTCTTGTAAAAAATTTACTTTTTAACGTTTGATAAAAATTTTCATAGACAAAATTATCGATCAACCTGTTATGATAGTTGAAAATGCTGCGAAGAGGCAAAAATGCATTTTAAGGGGTTTTTGTTCCTTCATTGCTCGTTTCTTACCACAACGGACGTTTTTCCTAAATGATATTTAGTATTGATCTGAATACGATTAAATTAATTGTATCTTTACAGACTCTTTACCTGTACAGAACATTTTGTTTTATGTTTGTTTGTTTAATATTAATTGTAAGAACAACAACGACACTACTAATTTTTTTCTTTACAATTAATCATTACAGATTCAAGTTAACATGATTATATCTAATACCTACATAGTTTAATAATTATATGTACGTAAAGGAATAAATTTGACGTGATATTTTTCGTAGCAGCAACAAATGGAGGTCGTATATATTCAATAGAGGTCTACTTTATCGACGCATTAATATGTCTAGATCAACAACAGGATTCGCGTTTTCAAAATTCTTTAATAATTATTGCTTTGACTTGAACTCAATATATTCTTCGAATATATATTAATCATAATTACGATTGATGAATTATTTTTTATCGATTTAATATAATAGAATATAAAATTGAATATTTTTTTTTAACAAATAAATTAATAAATATAAAGAAAATAAAATGATTTAGTTATTACGTCCAAAATTTAAGTTAAGACCTCTTTGCAGGGATGAAAAATTCAATGCTTTCTCTTGCTTTCATCTATTCGTTCATTTTCAGTCATACTTGTCAAACATCGATAGGCTTGCCACACACATAACCTCTAATTTAAATATCTTTTCTAAGATTTCTATACATGCATCGTGTTTAAATAAATCTTTCCCTTTAGATACACAAACGCCATCTTGGATATTGCACAAATGTGCAATATTACACACAGTTGAGATCACGAGCTGGAAACGTCATGTCCCGAGTCGAATTTTTCGCGAAAAAAATCCTCTCAGGATCCATTTAATGTACCAACGCAAACAGACCGTCACGCCGCAAGTGGAAAAGCTTTGCACTGTTTCAAAGAACGCAATGCAGTCTTGTGAATTAATATATTACACATAATGTTTTCATCTTATGGGATGTATTGGCTGGCACAGTTAAGCAGTATTGTCTGATGTGCTTCATTGGATACAGGAAAATAATTTAACGAAGATATTCGCATTGACACGGATCAGAGTGACAATCTATAACTGACGATATTAATTAATAGCTCTAACTGTTTATATCTTACTTGGCATGTCGGTTGACATTTTTCTATACGTCATTAAATCGATTAGCATTATCGGTTAATTGCTAACCTAAATAGACTTAGCATAACGTATGACTAGTGAATCAACACCTGATATGTCATACGAGCTTCTTACAAGCTAAGGACTAGAATAGACTCTTCTGATCTCCTTTGCAGGATGAAAAATTTCTAACGAAAAATTGAAAAAATCTCAACGGAAACTTATGTGACTAGATTTTTGTTTTCCTTAAGTAAGTAAAGTTGTTATTATTAATAAGATCTCGCACCATTTATCTTATCTATAGATAAATAGATTTTTTCACCTAGCCTTACGCGGAATACATATTTCAAT